TTGCTATTTCTTTTATAATACATAGCATAACAACACAGGAATTTATAAAATATATGATTTAACCAGATCTTTTCTGTTAAGGAAATATTCATGTGGACTGACTTTTTTCCCCAATAAAGACAGTCTCAACTCCCCAAAGTCCCACTTCTGGGAAACACTAACAGTGTAACACTCAGTTACAGCTATATAAATATACCCATGCTACTTTGATTTTGACTTCTCCAGTTGGATAAAATTTTTATCCAAATACCACTGCTACTAAAGATTACCTCTAAATCCAATCATCATTTTGTTATGTGTGGCAATACCATTAGGTCCAAATTGATCTAACTTTCAAAGTGGAACAACTCTACTCAGCCCAACCCTTTAAAAACACAAGCATTAACTTCAGATCACTGTACAGCTTTTAGAGTCTGTTAAATGTGGCTGCACAAAAATCAGCACAAAGGCAGCACTGCTTCAGAGCCTCCGTTGCAATATATCATCTAGTCAATTAAACTAAATTCCTCTCAGAGGCATAGAGAGGAAGATGCTAATTTTGAGTGTTCAATCTCTGCTTATTTAAAGAAGTCACATATCACCTTCTTAGCAGCTCTTTAGCATGGCCATGTGTGCAAAGGACACGCTGACTGCCCTTGGGCGCGTGCGCAAAGCCAGGAACCACCCCCTCCCTGGGTGTAGCATCTGTAACTATCACTTAGAGCCTGGTCTCCAGGAAAAGCCAGGAACTAAGTTTTATACTGAAATGACACCTAGTGGTTTGTAGTTTTAAATGAGCTTTTGTATATTTATTAGTCGAACCATTGAATTCTCAAGTTATTTATTGCAGAACATTCAAAAGGCAACACAACAATCATTTACTATTAAAGTAACTTACTCTTCATTTAACGCACATCTACGGCTGGGGGGACAGCCGTATTTTCTGAGACTCTGCGTCAGTTCTTTGTACAGCGTATCAGCCAGGAGATGAGGGATCCCTTCCCAGGCCAGTATGAGAATCACTATGACGGCGGTTTGGCAGTGGTGTCCTGCACGCTGACGTACCAAGCACAGCAACTTTTCCTCATCGCTACTTCTTCGTATCACCTGGAAGAATAATTTTGGTTATTCTTAGATAAGCGTAGGAAACACGTAACGCATTACTCTTCTCTGGGACACGTAAGGCCTGGAAGAGTGAGAAATACTGCTGCCCAGGGAGCGTCCATCAGCAAGCGGGACTGGAACAGCATCACACACTGATCTCTGGTGTAGAACATGATTTTGCATTGCCTTTTTACCTGTAGAAGAAATAGCAATACATTTTTACAGCAGGAGGAATATTTTAGGTGTTCCACACAAACATTAAAGATGGATTAAGAGGAAAATAACCACTAGAAGGAAATCGTAATCCCGAGACAACAGATCCACTGCAAACCTAACCGTTACCTTGAAAATAATACTGAAAACATATTGCCAAAACCCGGAATGCAGGTACACAAAAGCACATCACAAAAGCACACGTATACATGGGTTAGGATGGTTACCACAGTTACATGTCAGTACATAAAACGGTTCCCACCTCGCCAAGTAAGACTAGAAGAAAGCGATGAAAATAAACTGTGTTCTTAGCGGAGGAAGCAATGAGATTTTTCAGAACGTATCCCTAGACAACCTACGTTAAAGTTCTTAGCAGAACGCTGAAGTTTTTACTAAACTGTATGATATACAAAGCAATCTTTGTCAACCTTATCCATAAAACACAAAGACTAACACAATATGGAACAGTACAATACACCACTGAACTAAAAAAAAAAACCAAGAAAAAAGCTAGACAGTCCTACTCCCACATATTTAGGTTTTTATCGCAATCTGAAACGGAGTTGCATTGTAAGAAGACAAAAAAATGCATTAAAGCTAGGTAATACAAGAACATAAATCTATTCTTCAAATGTGTTTTGGCCAGCACAGCCTGTACGAGGCCTCCAACAAAGGTGTCGAGACCTCAGCGTTAAGCTTCAAACATATTAGGCCTGGACCTCTCTCAGGCCCTAGAGGCTAAATCCTCTTCCTCGGCTCTGTCGTATATAGGATGGGGACCAGCAAGTCTCTCTTCCTCGCTGCGTGCTGATGGCGAGCCCTTACCTTGCGGATGTTCTCTGCCAGCTCTGCAGCAATACACTTGCTCAGGACAAGCCGCCGGACACCTGGCTTTCCACCCGACACCCCCTCTCCACCAGCAGAACTCCCAGAGACTTGTTACTAGTCACAGACTATAAAAGCAGGAAGGCAACGCAGTTTCACTTACTCTTTGAATACCTCCAAATATCTGAGTTTTCACTCAGATTCCCTATTGGACTGACGTCAAAGCTGCTTTGCTGCCAGACGTGCAGCCGTCATTCGTATGTGACCCCTAGCCTGATCAGCTGTGAATATCTAAATTATTTGAACTCATTAAAAGTGAGGACCAAAGCACGGTTGCAATTAATCTGCAAATTAAAAGGTTTTCAATAGACGAACAGTTTCAAAGAGAATCTGTGCAGGCTTAGCAGGAAGAAGCAAGCTTAAAGTTAATTGTGTCAAGAGAGAAAGTATCACCCTTCTAAAGTTAATCATACAGTCTTACAATCAGCCTTAAACTTAACGAGAAAACAAGCAAATGCGTGCAAGAGACCACTCCTCAAAAGGAGTCTTGGTTGTGACTGACCAACCAGTACAGTATTTTTTATAAAGAAAATAAAATAATGCAACTCATTTACATTTGAGTGAGGTTTACAGAAAACCTATTATGGCTGATATACAATACAGGTTATTCATGTCAGCGTGAGTTTTACACTCCTGAGGCAGCACAGTTCCTTCACATCAGAAGGAGAAGAATTCGATTTTGTTACTCGGCATGAAGGGTGATACTTTTACTCTCTTTTCTTTTTTTTTTGGTTTCTAGACTTTGTAACTTCAATAAAGAAATCTGGTACCTCTTAGTTGCCCTTTTTGAGTTCTCAAATAGTTCTAAACTGGAAAGTCCAAGAAAAATGACAAATGGACAGGAAGGAAATTTATAGCTCCCTTTAAACTAACACCACACTTCCCTGGAGTTAAACATAGCTGGAATTTGCTTCATTATGCATGCAGTAGAGAATGCAATACTTTTATTGGACCCCAAAACATTCTACAATCCATCATTTTTCAGGCCACAAAGGTAGCTAATGGATTTATTAGTTGTCTGAATTTAACTTCTATGGCTTTTAAGAGCTTACATGGTCTGACTACTACAGCTGGAGCGCTCCTGTCCTTTTGTTACCAGAGATCAGGCACTTTTCTCACCTGACCGCTATGGTCTTAGCAGAGCACAACTTGCACAGAAACAATCACGGCTCCTCCAGGCCCGCAGGCAGTGACAGCGCAGACAGAGCTGGAGCCGTGTTGCTTTTCCCGTATAACCTGATGATGCCCCTTCAGGGCTCTGGCTGACGTTCTCAGAGCAGTAATAAACAGAGCCTCTCTTTTGCAACAATAATAAATCCACAGCAATACCACACTCAATGTACAGAAAAGCACATTTGAACAGAGCAACCGAAAACTATGGAATAAATCCAGCCAACAGGAACATCATGTCATTCTTGGCGATTTAACAATTCTTCTAGTGGCAGAAACTGCCACTGCAGTTGTGGCAGTTTGACTTGGTGACTTCTTAGTTACCTTAACACTGAGGTAACTCCGTTAATTTCCAACTTGTCATTTGTTTTCCAGTGCCTCACTACACCAAATAAATTTTTGAACTCTCCAATAGATTATATGTATATTGTATTATAAGTGTGTATATATATTAAGCAAAAGTAAAACTGACTGCATTTGCTTTTGTTACTAAACTTGTGATTATCTGAGTAATTGGTGCAATCCAAAATATAACTACAAGTTGTGTACTGCTTATCAAGATTTTGCCTGATGTGCTTACAGATCAGATTTCTTACTGTTTTTCTAAGTAATGGACCTAGTAAGGCTTTAGTTGACCAATCATTTCTTGAATTACTCTTCAGCTGTCTCCAGTTTATTTATTTATTTCTATTCCAGTTTCTGCAGCTTGAAATTACTGGGGATGGTTCCAAGATCTTTTCATCCTTAAACATCCCCAAACCATACAGTGTTTTAACTAGCTGCACCCTCCCCCCCATTTACTTTATGGAAACATCACGCTTGTTGAATTCATACAACAGCAACACCATCTTAATGATGTCATCAGGAAAGTAGCATATATAAAATCTCAGCCTACACTTTAGTTCACTTTATTCTTTTCTTTTCAGCATGCATTTGACACGGTGTCCGCCTCAGTAAGGCAAATGGAATTAGTATACTGTCACAGCCACAGAGAATACGATAATAATGCAATTTATTAATCAATTCTTCATGCAATGATTTAAAATGTGTATTTAATTGCTATTGAAAGTTTGCAAACGTAATTCCCAGTGTACTTATTGTTTACCTATGAAACACTGAGATGCCAAATATTGAGTTAAATATGCAACAAAATAGAGCAAGTCCCCAAATGTTTCCTCAGACTATGAACAATTCACAAATCAGCCGGCAAATCTTGTGTCCAAAAGTTGTGGGTACGACTCATGATTTCTGTGATGTAGTTAACAACAGTGATAACGTAACTAATTTAATACTTCAGTTTGTTTATTTTTGGTCCCTAAAGCATTTAAAAGGAATGAGAAAATAAACATTTGTTAAGTGGTGGAACTTTAAAGCTAGCTTTTTAAAATGGAAGAATAAAAACTTTTCCCCTGCAATTACTTTTCCACACAAAATAACCACACCTTCTTAGTGACTCACATAGAAAAATAATATAATCAACAAAACAGACTTGTAATAAGTTTGTAAAGTATTATGTAACACTTAAATGTCATATGGTCATCTTTTTGCAGGTATGTAGGGACAGATTATCCCTGAACTCATTTTAGCAAGCAATAACCGTCATCAGGACTGAGTATCCATCGAAAGATTCCCACATTTACAATGAATAATCTGCTTCAGCTGCAACGCAGCCCTTCTGGAAAGCAACAGACCTGACAAACTCCCCCACAATGCTTGACCAATACCTATCAGCCCTGTTCTGCACTCACAATAACTGGGCACGAAGTTACACGCTACCCGCTCCCTCACCTGTTCGCCAACGTAACCATGGCTAGGACAAAATGAAAAACCGAAATGGGACACACCTCCTTCCAAATAGCTTTCTTACGCACATACATATTTGGACACACAATACCACAAGTATCGTCCTTGTAGGTTGCTGATTTGGTCCTTTTCAAAACCAAGTTTTGTACATCCCTCCTGCACTGTAGTCGGGCACCCACCCCTACTGCTTTCTGTACCATGCCTGTTCTGCATTACTATGGCTACCCATGTGTTCTTGTTTATGTGTGCATCTACAGGAAGACAACGATTCAAGCCCAGATACTCTGAAATGGCAGAATCTGAGAATACGAGCAAGCCCTCAACGTGAGCCACAGCCTGACAGCTAGGACAGAAATACAATCCACATCATATGGCATGATACCACAGCTAAACCTCTGTTTCTACAAGTCACAAAGGTAGAAGTTTACACAATTTTCTTAACAGAAAGCGTGAGCCAAAAACTAGAGTGTATTTACTGAAGAGGTGCCATATGCAGCGGAATTTGCTCCAGCATTTAGCAACAAGTTTTGGGATAAACAAGAGGAAAAGTTAGGTTTTCACTCCCTCACATACAAGGATGGTGAAGAGACAGAAAGGGATTCTAAGAATTAAAGAATTGAAGAATACAAGAGCAGGACAAGGTCAGAGGAGTGGACTGTCCAGCCTTACCCTGATCCTGACAGCGACTAAGAGGAGTTGCCTAGGGATGAGTAAGAAAGGCACTGGGATGCAGAGACGCTTCTCAACAACTGCCAGGCACCTTCCAGCCACCTGCTGGCAGCTCGGGGGACGTGCTCTCTCCCAGCTTGTGAAGGATTTGCCTTCTGTGCATCTGTCCTCTCACTTCGAAATGTATGCAGCATTTTACCATGCACTACATTCCTGGGCAAAGCTTAATTCCAGACTACGTGAAAGAAAAAGCTTTACCTTTT